CCTCTCAATGTTCTGAAAGTATAGATTTCTTTCCCCCTTGAGTGCTGACTGCAGATTAAAACCGGGCACTCCTGGGCTGCCCACTGCAGCTCTGGGGTGATCTAAGTGTTTGTTTCTCTTCCCCAACTTGGAAGCAGCAGAGGAAGGAATTTTCATAGTGATTGTGGTCGAGGGTTGTTTGCTTGTCTTCTGAGGGCTCTACCCCAGAGAAATGAAGGTCAGCAGTTGCTCAGTACAATCAGCCCAGGATGGAGAGTCTGTGTTGCTGGCCTAAACCATGGGTTCCCTGTCTGGAGGCAAGCAGTGGGGGATAGAGAGGGTAGTGTGGGATCCGTGGGAGATGGACTGGCCTCCTCTCCTTGAGTTGACTATAGCTTGTTGGAGGTGTGGATAAGGCACTCTTTGCTCCTTCATTAGTCTGAGGGTGGCAAGGGCAGTTCCACTGCAGAGGCAGTGACAGAGAGACTTTCAACTGCCCCTGGAAAAGTCTGGCCACTTTTCCCTAGGGTTGCTGTAGTATGCCTGGGTCCCACTCCAGTCCTTAGTCACCTCAGATTTTCTAGTACCTAGACATATCACCAGTGAAGGCTGTAAAACAGCAAAGATGGCAGCCTGTTTCTCCCTCTGGGAGCTTTGTCCCAGGGAGGTATGGGACTGTTGCTGGCCCAAAGGTACCTGCAGGAAGTAGCTGGAGACCCAGGTTGGGAAGTCCTGCCCGATGAAGGAGAAAGGGGATCAGGGATCCACTTAAAAAAGCAGTCTGGCCACATTTTGGTAGAGCAGCTGTACTGTGCTGGGGGTCTGCCTCAGTGCCCTCCCTGGTCACTTCAGACATTCTGAAGTCCAAAGGCTTAAGTGGCAAAGATAGTGGTTCACCCCTCCCTCTGGGAGCCCCGTCCCAGAGAGATTACAAACCTTTATTGATTGGAGAACACCAAGAGGGGTGGCTGGAGGACCCAGTTAGGAGGTCTGCCCAATGAGGAGGAGTGGGATCAGGGACTGACTTAAAGAAGCAGTCTGGCCATGTTTTGGTAGAGCTGTGTAGTGCTGAGGGATCCCTTCCACCTGCAGTTGGCTTGGACTCTCTAAAGCCTGAAGGCTGAAACAGCTAAGTCACCCAAACAGCAAAGATGGTGACCTGCCCCTCCCTCTGAGAGCACCATCTCTGGGAAAATTCAAACCTCTGTCAGCTGGAGACCACTGGTGGCATTGGTTGGAGGGCCCAACGAAAGAGCCCTGCCCAGTGAGGAGGTCTGGCATTGGGCACCTGCTTAAAGCAGCAGTCTGGCCCTATTTTGTAGAGCAGCTGTGCTGTGCTGGGGAATCCCTTTCATCCCTGGTCAGCTTGGACACTCCAAAGCCTGAAGGCTGGAATGGCTAAGGCACCCAAGCAGCAAAGATGGCAGCCTCTCCCTCCCACCAGGAGCTACTTCTTAGGGAGGTGCAATGCCACTACTGGTGGCTGGAATTCCAAGCCACTGGGTCTTATCTTGTGAGGTGTTATGAAAGTGGGCCTATAGGCCATTGCTGCTCAGTCCCCTGGATTCTGCCTCTTTACTAGGATTAAGTATGGGGGTCTGGCCTCCCACTTTGCTGGAGCTGCAGCTACTTTTTCTGGAAAGTCCAAGTATCTAAAGCTCCAGAGTTTCCGCACATGTCTGAGTGGCTCCTATGCTGAGGTACCACATAGCTCTGTCAGACTGAAAGCCCTGGTAGAGTGGGTTCACAAGGACATCTTCTGATCTGAGGGTTGCAAAGATCCTTGGGAAAAGTGTCATTTCCCAGGGTCACTCATTCATTCACTGCTTTCCTGGGTAGGGGAGGTTCCCCTAGCTCCATGTTGCTCCCTGTTGGGAGTGGTCCTTCCCCTGTGGGAGTTTTAAAAAATATCTTACCAGGAATTTGCCTACCCTTAGGAAAAGTGTGTTGTAAGAGAAGATGATTAGTGTTGCAGAGAAAGGGATTTCCAAGGTAATGACCATTGACATGGTTTGGCTGTGTCCCCACCCAAATCTCAACTTGAATTGTATCTCCCAGAATTCCGTGTTGCAGGAGGGACCCAGTGGAAGGTAATTGAATCATGGGGGCCAGTCTTTCCTGTGCTATTCTCGTGATAGTGAATAAGTCTCACAAGATCTGCTGAGTTTATCAGGGGTTTCTGCTTTTGCTTCTTCCTCATTTTTCTCTTGCTGCCATCATGTATGAATTGCCTTTTGTCTCCTGCCATAATTCTGAGGGCTCCCTAGCCATGTGGAACTTTAAGTCCAATTAAACCTTTTATTCTTTTCAGTTTCAGATATGTCTTTATCAGCATGTGAAAATGGACTTATATGATAAATTGGTAGCAGGGGTGGGGCATTGCTGAAATGATACCCCAAAATGTGGAAGTGACTTTGGAATTGGGTAACAGGCAGAGGTTGGAAGAGTTTGGAGGACTCAGAAGAAACCAGGAAAATGTGGGAAAGTTTGGAACCTCCTAGACATTTGTTGAATAGCTTTGACAAAAAAATGCTGATAGTGATATGAACAATAGTGTCCAGGCTGAGGTGGTATGAGATGGAGATGAGAAGCTTCTTGGGAGCAAAGGTGACTCTTGTTAAGTTTTAGCAAAGAGACTGGTGGCATTTTGTCCCTGCCCTAGAAATTTGTGGAACTTTGAACTTGAGAGAGATGATTTAGGGCCGGCGTCCCCAAACTTTTTACACAGGGGGCCAGTTCACTGTCCCTCAGATTGTTGGAGGGCCGCCACATACTATGCTCCTCTCACTGACCACAAATGAAAGAGGTGCCCCTTCCTGAAGGGCAGTGGGGGGCCAGATAAATGGCCTCAGGGGGCTGCATGCGGCCCATGGGCCATAGTTTGGGGATGCCTGATTTAGGGTATTTGGTGGAAGAAATTTATAAGCAGCAAAGCATTCAAAAGGTGACTTGGGTGTTGCTAAAAACATTACATTTTAAAAGGGAAACAGAGCATAAAAGTTCAGAAAATGTGCAGCCTGACAAAGCAGTATAAAAGAAAAACCCATTTTTAGAGGAGAAATTTAAGCCAGCTGCAGAAATTTGCATAAGTAGCAAGGAGCCTAATGCTAATCCCCAAGACCGTAAGAAGAATGTCTCCAGGCCATGTCAGAGATAGTCATGGCAGTCCCTCCCATCACAGACCCAGAGGTCCAGGGGGAAAAAGTGGTTTCATGGGCTGGGCCCAGGGTCCCCATGCCAGGTACAGCCTAGGGACTTTCTGCCCTGTGTCCCAGCTGCTCCAGCCATGGATGAAAGGGGCCAATGTAGAGCTTGGGCTGTGGCTTCAGAGGGTAGAAGCCCCAAGCCTCGGTAGCTTCCACATAGCGTTGAGCCTGCGAGTACACAGAAGTCAAGAACTGAGGTTTGGGAACCTCCACCTGAATTTCAGAAGATACTTGGAAACTACTTAGATGCCCAGGAAAAAGTGTGCTGGAGGGCTGAGGCCCCCATGGAGAGCCTCTGCTAAGGCAGTACAGAAGGGAAATGGGTTGGAGTTGCCACACACAGTGGGCATTGCCTAATGGAGTTGTGAGAAGGCGGCCACCATCCTCCAGACGCCAGAATGGTAGATCCACCAACAGCTTGCACCATGCACCTGGAAGAGGCACAGTCACTCAACATCAGCCCATGAAAGCAGCCAGGAGGGAGGCTGTACCCTGCAAAGCCACAGGGGCGAAGCAGCTCAAGACCAGGTATCCCACATCTTGCGTCAGCATGACCTGGATGTGAGGCCTGGAGTCAAAGGAGATCATTTTTGAGTTTTAAAATTTGACTGCTGTGCTGGATTTTGGACTTGTGTGGGGCCTTGTAACCCCTTTGTTTTGGCCAGTTTCATTTGGAACAGCATGTATTTACTCAATACATGCACTACCTTTGTATCTAGGAAGTAACTAACTTGCTTTTGATTTGACAGGCTCATAGGCAGAAGGGACTTGCCCTGTCCCTGATGTGACTTTGGACTGTGGACTTTTGGGTTAATGCTGAAATGAGTTAAGACTTTGGGGGACTGTTGGGAAGGCATGATTTGTTTTGAAATGTGAGGACAAGATTTGGAGGGGCCAGGGGTGGAATGATACAGTTTGGCTGTGTCCCCACCCAAATCTCAACTTGAATTGTATTTCTCAGAATTCTTGTGGGAGGGACCCAGGGGGAGGTAATTGAATCACAGGGACCAGTCTTTCCTGTGTTATTCTTGGGATAGTGAATAAGTCTCACAAGATCTGATGAGTTTATTAGGGGTTTCTGCTTTAGCTTTTCTCTCGCTGCCACCATGTAAAAAGTACCTTTCACCTCCTGCCATGATTCTGAGGCCTCCCTACCCATGTGCAACTGTAAGTCCAATTAAACCTCTTTTTCTTCCCTGTCTTGGGTATGTCTTTATCAGCAGCATGAAGACGAACTAATACAACCATCTAGGAGATATGATGTTAATCCAGACTGATAAAGTTCTGCAGGACTCCTCAGAGCCTTATGGATCTTCAAGGGTAAAGAACATAAAGTGTTTCCCAGATTTATCTACTTTGGAACCATTTTTTCACTGAGCATCTCAAGACTAATAGTCCTTCCACTACACTAGCTCAAATATGACTCCTTGTGATGGCAATTTTATGAGGTGGTGACACCAGTTGAGAAAGACTGTGTGTGTGTGAAGTAGACCCCTCAAAGTGTCCCAGTGGGAAATTACCTAGAATCAGGATATGCGAGCTAGAAAGGATCGTCTTGTCCAACTTGACAGAAGAGGAAACAGCCCTACGACTCATCTTAGTGGTGACCTTTAGGAAAGCTGGTGCTATGTGAAATGTGAGGCTCAATTTGTAAAGATGTAATTCCCCAAGTGAGAAACCAAGCAAAGCCATTAGTTTGGTGTGCACTAACCTATATTTTTCTTTCATTCTCTTTTAGGTTGTTTACTTAGTTCTAATATCGTCTTCTGCAGCTCAATGAGGATTAGAACAGGACCAGGAATCAAGACCAAGTTTCTGGTTTTACTAGTTTGGAAGCAGTTTTAATGAAGATGGAAATGTTTATCAACTCATCACAGGTACCCCCAAAATACAAATCAAAATATCATTTTCAGCTGCATAGCAAATATGATTTAAGAATTTAACATCATTATTTGATCACAAGCGTAAATATAAGTCACCATAAATAAATGTAAATTCATTGTACAAAAATCCCCAACAACTCTTAATACAAATATGGTACATTTGACAGTTTCTGAAACAGATTTTTTAAAACTTTTTAAAACCTAAGCTTTATTTTTTTTCCTGGTTATTAGACACACACAAAAATCAAAAGAGGCTAGGGCAGTAATGCCAGGGGAAGAGAATATTAAACTTATAGGGTGTTAAGAAATCAGTGCCACTGGCAAGCCAGGGAAATGAAATCCTTCTACTGAAAGGTAAGCTCAATCTACTGGGATCAAGTCTCTTGCAGGTAATGTGACTCAGCCCAGAGGGTGAAATTTAGGGATATGAATGTGGGGTGAGAGAGGTGGGTTATTGAAATAGAAATCTCATCAAATAGATGATTCAAATCTCCACGAAGCTGTGGTCAGGGATTTGGATGAAACTCTATCTATCTATCAGCTACAGAGAGCCAGCTACCATCCTCAGACAGGACTAAAGATGTAGAAGGAGCTGGAGCCTCGACATTTTATATGTGTTTTTAAAGTATGTTCTGCCATCTGGGATAATGTCTCTTTTGCCTCTGGAACATAGCTATGGTCATCAAGAAGAAAAAGTCAGAAATCATAATAGAAGGTGGTACTTCCAGACAGGAGAATCTGCCAGTTTCCCCTGGGAACCTCTTCCTTTGTCTCTTCCCTGTATATTTTTCCCACGGCTCGGTGGTAGCTCAAAGCCCAAGGTTATCAGAATGATTCCCTTACAACAGTGCTTCCCAAACTTCGATGTGCAACAGAACAAGTCAGGTAGCTTGTGGAAAGGGCAGATTTCCTGGCCCTGTTCCCAGAGATTCAGAATTAGTAAGTTTGAGGTGGGGCCCAGGAATCTGCACTCAGATGTGCTACTCTCGGGATCTGACCTAAGGGGCCTTTCACCTGTGGCCCCACCTTTCCTCACTGGAGGATATAAGGACATCACACAGACCTCTTCCCGTGGGTACTTCCTGTAGGGTTAAAAACGAGGCCATTTGATTAAGGCAACCATTTCTAAACGTCTTACTTCCCTGGGCTGGAAAAATATCAAATGTCACATTTTATGCTCTTAAAACTACAGGGCCACAGATTTCCTGAGACAATGACATGCTCTGTAACAAGACACGTACATCCTAAAGCCTCTGTCCTTCTCAATGTTCCCATCACACTAGGTAGGAGATTCTGCAGAATACTTTTGGTTTGGTCTAGAAAATGGAAGTAAATATTACCTTTGGGAGAGAAGCCACACCCCAAAGTCTAACTTAAGAAACATAAAGATAACAGCCAAGTTGAGAGCAAAAGCTAAAATGTTGCAAGAATCTTTCAGATTCTAGGACAATGAAAGTTCTGATTCCCTAAAAGAGGACTCTTCCTGGAGGCCAGGGGGCACACATATCTTGGTATTAAAAGCTCATTGACAATTATTACTATTCCCCCTCACCTCTGTATTTCCAAGATGTTTTGGGCCTCTGTGGAAATAACCCCTTAATATTTTCTTTCTTGTGGAAATGTTCCTTGATAAGCGATTCTGTGCCAAGAAGTGGTCCCTAATTTGGTAGCCGGCTAATGCTGTAGGCAGTGCTGTGACTGTTCCAAGCTGCTTCCCCTATGTGGCCCAGTGCTAAGCCTCTACCAAAGGGATGAGGGAACCATCTCGCCATCAAGCAGCTGAGATGGCCTGAAAGCATCCCGCGTGGACCGTGAAACTTCTGGCCGTGTTCATACATACTGCTTCCCCAGAGCAGGCCTGACCAGTCTCCTACCCCACCTGCATACAGTGTGATACACCTGTGAATGGACCTCTCTAGGACTTCCCCGAGAGGGGAGTTAGGATGGGACTTCGGGAAGCCTATGTGGTAGAATCCCTGGCAGCCAGAGTGGGAGAAGATACCCCCGTGGCACTGCTGGGAGGGAACCCAGAGAGATGAAGTCGCAAGCTGAGGGACATCCTTCGGGCGGGGCTGGCATCTCTGGGCAGGCCGTATCTGTTCTCAGTCTGAGACTTCAGTCCTGGGGTCAGACATGGGCACTGGGTAGGAGGTGTCCGTCTTGGGAGGAGGTCTTGGGAAGCAACCACAGATGGGTGGGATGATGGGATGGAGAAAGGGTGAAAGGTTGAGGGGGCAAGAAAAGAAAAAGCACACACTGCCCTGTTTTTCTTTTTTTTTTTTTTTTCATTATATGCTATGGAGAAACCAGCATGGAGGTGTCACGGGAGAGCATGCACATGCCCCGCCCTAGGGAGTGGTGGAGATGTGTTTGGGGAGGTACTTGTTTGTTTCCAGGTCCATCCCACACGCTGTCCGGTCGGATCCTGTGGCAGGCTGGCTGTGGCTTTCTCTCTCCTGCTTCTCTTCCTCCTCCAGAGAAAGGGTCTGCAGGACCTTCTGCTCAGCAAGTGGTGGCCAAGGACTGGTGGATGGGTGGCTGGAAGCAGCGCACATGCTCCACGGTGGAACTGTCTGTCTCCACGGACTTCATGTACTTGTTCAGGATGGCAAAAACCTCATTGTTCAAGATCTGGTACTTCCTGATCCGGTCGGCCATCTTCTTGAGGGGCTACAGAAGGAAGGGGATGTTCAAGTTAGGGCAGGACAAAGGGGAGTGGAAAGAGAAGGGAGTAAGAGAAGTCAGTGAGGTCCAGGGTCCCCTGCATCAGTGATCATATCACTTAAAATCCTTTAATGGAGTCCCCTGGATCTGACAATCAAGTGTTAACAGGATGATGAAAACCCTCTCCAAGTCTTAAAACCATCTACAGAGCTACAGTAATCAGGAGTGTGGCACTGGCATAAAGGTAGACATATGGATGAGTGAAACAGAATAGAGAGCCCAAATACACAACTATATGTATGATCAAATGATTTTCAACAAGGGTGCCAAGACTGTTCAATGGGGGAAAACAACAGCCTTTTCAACAAAAGATACTGGGAAAAATGGATACCCACATGCAAAAGAGTAACACGGAACCCTTACCTTATACCATATACAAAAAATTAACTCAGAATGGATCAGAGACCTGACCATGGGAGTTAAAACTGAAACATTTAGAACATAGGGGGAAATTTTTAATAATATGGATTGGGCAATAATATCTTGAGACATGGTATCAAAAGCAAAGGCAAAAAATTGAACATCAAAATTGAAAACTTTTGTGCATTAAAGGGACACCATCAGAATGAAAAGGCAACTCATCAAATCGAAAATAATCACAAATCGTTTCTTATAAGTAATGTCTAGAATACGTAAAGAACTTCAACTCAACAAAAAGGACTCGAATAGGCACTTCTCCAAAGAACACATACAAATGTCCAATAACACATGAATATAGCACTCAGCACTGACAGTCAAATTAAAACCAGAACATGATTGACTTTTTCACCCATCAGGATGGCTATTATTAATAAGTGCTGATGAGGATGTGGAGAAATTGGAACTCTTGCGTACTACTGGTGGGAATGGAAAATTGTGCAGCCACTACGGACAACAGAATGGCAGCTTCTAAAAAATATCGAATTACCATAGGATCCAGCAATTCCACTTCTGGGTATATAGTCAAAAGAATGGCAAGCAGAAATTGAGCGTTATTTATATAGCTATGTTTCATAGAAGCCAAAATTAACCATTTTCAACAGTGGCCAAAAGGTGACAGCAAGCTAGGCATCCACGGACGACTAGACAGACAAAACGTGGTCTGTACACGCAATGGAATATTACGCAGCCATAAAAAGGTTGGAAGTCTACATATGCTACAACATGGATGAACCTTGAAGACATGCTAACTAAATTGAGCCAGTCACGAAAACACAAATACTGTATGTTCTACTTATATGAGGTACCTAGAGTAGTCAAATTCATCAAGTAGAATGATGGTTACCAGGGGCTGGGGAGAAAATGTGGAGTGATTTTTTAATGGGCCCAGAATTTGAGTTGGGGAAAATGAAAAAGCTCTGGAGAGGGATGGTGGGAATGGGGGTACACTTAGTGTATTTCATGCCCCTGAATTGTACACTGAAAACTACCATTTAGACTATGCGTATTTTATTTAAAAGCCCTTTGTGACGTGGCTCCTAGCTCGCTCTCCTTGAAGTAAAAATTTTGCCCAGGATTTTGACAGCACGTTGTCGGCAACCATCCCTGTTTTGAAACTGTCCCTATTTTTGTTAGTAACTGCCTCTTTCTGCTTCTGTAGCTCGGCTTATTGCTTACTAACTGGAAAACCTTTAAGAGAAACTGCCGGGCGCGGTAGCTCAAGCCTGTAATCCCAGCACTTTGGGAGGCCGAGGTGGGTGGATCACGAGGTCAAGAGATGGAGACCATCCTGGTCAACATGGTGAAACCCCGTCTCTACTAAAAAAATACAAAAAATTAGCTGGGCATGGTGGCGTGTGCCCGTAATCCCAGCTACTCAGGAGGCTGAGGCAGGAGAATTGCCTGAACCCAGGAGGCAGAGGTTGCGGTGAGCCGAGATCGTGCCATTGCACTCCAGCCTGGGTAATAAGAGCAAAACTCCGTCTCAAAAAAAAAAAAAAAGCTGCCACGTTGTCTAAAATCCTGAGTTACTCCCCCTCCCACTTACTGTAAAAACTGTGTACTATTCTAAGCCGGGGTCCAGACTTTTGGGTGTGAACCCTTCTGGGCCCGCCGGTGTAATACAGTGTATTCCTCCGATCCCCTGAGTGCCGCTTGGGTTTTTCAGGTAAGATGTTCCAGAACATCTTCTCACTGGGTCCCTGAAACCCCACCTTCGATCTGTCTTCGTGCCTCAGTGCCTCAGCTGTCGCCATTCCTCTGTCTGGGGCATCCTCCCCACCCCACATCCCACTCTGCTGCTTTGTTCTTTGCTGTGGGCCATCCCGGACTCAGCCCAGGCACAGCCTCCCTCTCCTGGGAAGCTTTCTCTGCCCTCAGCTTGGTTTAAGAGCCCTTCTCCACCTTCCCACAGCAGCCCGTCTCGCCCACACCAGCACCTATCCCATCCAGGCGCCCTGCACGACTCCAGTGTTTGGTGAATATTTGTACAGGTGAGAAACTGGCATCAGCAGAGTCTGAATGGGACAGGGAAGGTGCACTCCAGGTCTGGAGCCCAGCCCTGCCCTTGGGGGTGACCTGATTCATGGCAGTAGGTGACGAGTGAGTGACTCATGGCTTCCTCTAAACAGGTCACCGGCCTGTAGTATCTTTATGCCTGCGGTGTGGGGAGCTGGCCTTCACGAGCAGCTCCCCGTCCTCTGCTTTTCTGGTGAAAGCCTGGTTGTCAGCCCAGCCCCATCGCCCAGGCCTCAGCCTGCTTACCACATTCTTAATGATTTCATCCTTCCCATCCTGCCTCTGCACTTTTAGCAGGTGGTAACAGAAGTCGAACAGGTCGAAGCGACGCTGCTGGCCCAGCAGGACGATGATGGAGCAGCCAGCCCAGTTCAAGCCATCACCGAAACACTGCCTAGGAGCAGGGAGAGAAAGCAGCTGGAGTTGAGAGGTAGGGGAGGAAGGGAGGCAGGGAGGGAGACTCATCTTGGGCCAGAAGTACAGCTACTAAGCAGGCCTGTCTTTGGGCCAAGTCTCTTAATCTATAAAATGGGTACAAAGGAAGCTGTGAGGGTGGATTCATTAGTTCCAGGGATGGTAGTTATGTCATATAAAGTCCTTCTAGCCACAAAGAGGTGTCAGCCTCTTTGCATCACCAATGTTAAAAAAAAAAAAAAATCAGCTCTGAATTTGCAAGGAAAAACTGATGCAGCCCTTGAGATTTCTGTGGCTGATTACTCCCTGCAGGCCAAAGGAGAATCTGTCTTGACTCTCTAAAAGGAGCCGAAGGAACACCTGTGGGGTGAAGGGCCATTTCAAACCAGGAGGCCAACTGGCCAGGGCAGGCTGAGAGGGAGGGGACAGGCTGTGGTGGGCAGATGTTGCTGGGGTTGAGGCTGAGTCCTTTGGGTTCTGACAAAGCTCTGACTGCAGTCCCCCAGCTCTGAAGAGACATGGGCATTTGGACGGCAGCAGGGTCATCCTTCAGCTATCTCTTTTGCCCTTAAGCAGCAGCCCCAGCTCCCCAGCACTGTGCTGGAAGCTTGTAGGCCAGCGCTGCTCTGAAACGGCCTCACCAACACCACATTCTCAGGGAAGTTGCCCCTTCCCGCAACCTTTTTCCTAGAGCTCGTGGCTGCTGGAAGGGAGGGCTTGGCTTGTCTGCCTTTCCACTCTGTCCTCAACATGTAGCTGGGTGAGTTCAGGAAGAACTAGCCCTCTTCTGCTCTAAGGACTCCTAAAGGCTCCTCATTTTCCAGTAGTACAGTGTAGTGGCGGTGAGGTGGGCAGTGAGTCTTATTATCAAACTCCTACTGGGCTCTTTCTTGCACACGCAATTGGCTCAGCCTCCAGGTGTATCCTGTGCAGCAATCAACACACTCAACAAGTAGTTGCTGGCCACCCCCAACCCCGTTTCTGGCTGAACTCTGGTAGCCCCATGACCTGCCGGAGCACAGGCAGCTTGGGGGTGACCCTGCCTTCTCTGGGAGTACTCACTCAGCTGTGAACTCATTGGTTCCCACAGGGATGCAGTAGACAAACTGCATGGCACTCCATAGCCGGTGGAACTCCACACACTCATCGACGTGCATGACGCCATTGGTGGGCGGTGGGCCCCGCCAGATGGGGTCCTGCAGGTAGCTCCGGATGCGGGTCAGGATGACCTCGAACATGGACAGGCCACAACACAGCCGCTCCTTGGTCAGGAGGTCACCCTCCCGAGCGATGGCGATTTGCTGGAAACAGAAGGGCATACACACCTTCTAGCCACGTTTCAGAGCCCATCTGCCACCTCCCACCAGAGATTCCCAAACTCCAGAGCTGGCTGCACCTGGAATTCATTCACTAAAACTGATGTCTCTTCTTCAAAGCAGGGCACTAACTTGATGATCCTGAATGCAACAGCAAGGAAGTTTCATGGTAAGTCTTACTGGCATTAAGTAAAATCCAGGTACCATCAGTAGTGGATTAATTTTTAAAACGATGATTTACCCATGTAATGAATGCTGGATAGCTATTGAAAAGACTGACATGATACTACTAAGTAGTACCACTGCTTCTACTGTAATTACTACTAGCTTAAGCTTTCTGAGTGTGGGTAATAAAGCAGGCCGTGTTCTAAGCACTTGATAGGTGCTGACTCCATTCCACTCCATGAGGTAGATGCCGTTCCTATCCCCATTGTACAGATGAAGAAACTAAGGCTCAGAGAGGCAGCCAGTGAGTGATAAAGCTCCCATTTGACCCAGTAGTCTACATCTGTTGGTTAAGTTGTAAAGTGAATAAAACAAATTGCAGAAACGAATGCATATCACAATTCTACTTAAAAACACTGACAACGTACAGTCCCACAGACGAACGTATGTGTGACGTGTGTATGTGTAAAGCATATTTTAGAAAGACTAACATCAGCTGTGGGAACAGATGGGCTTGGAGAAGTGAGTGAGACTGTCACTCTTGACTTTAAATACTTCTGTACAATTGAATGTGCTACAATGAGCATACATTAATCTTTTAAAATTTGCCCATGATTTCAGATAATGATTTCCTTTAGAAGGGCTTCTCTGACAATTACAAATGACCTCTATTAATGTAAACTGGCTTTTCATCTGGGTTCTGGCTACTGCATATCTAACAACCAGTTGACTAGACAGGCTGGATGTGAAAACATTACTACACACATTATGAGTAAAAGCATGTAGGGGGAGAGGTCCTGAAAGCTATCTGCAAAGTAAGGTAAGTATTAAAATCTAAGGTTAAAATAAGGTCTCTAAATCTGCGAACAAAGCTAAAGGCAGACTTTCTGACGCTGAGATCCACAGGGGACTCATGGGATCAGCTCCCCAGTGGGAGGTTTCCCCAAGAAGCCATTTTACAGGGTGGCTGGGAGGCACCTGCCTGGCTTTCCTGTAAGCTCCCTCCCTGGAGGCCCCCAGGAAGAGGGAGGAAGAGGGTGACCTTTAACTGCATCTAGGAAGGGAAGGAAATCCGGAAACAGCAATACCAGGCGTCTGTTATAAATGTGGACCATGAATGTAGTTGTCACAAGAACTAGGAACTGAAATCTAGGAAAAAGATGAATTGGAGAAGTAGTTTGCCAATGTGTGTTTTAAACATGAAAGAGGGAACCCTGATTCCTGGTGACTCACCCTGATTTCATCAGCAGGAACAGCTCGTAAGCAGAGGGGAACCGCTCAGATTGCCACAGTTAGCTTAGAAATATCTCTAGTTAAAAAAAAATCCTGAGCCTGTACTTGAGTCTGTTCGTATTCTCTTTACTCTTACTCTTTTCTGTTTGGCCCCAGAAAGGGCTCCTCATTTCAGAAAGAGAATGCCTAGTACAAGGAAGACGCTCAGTAAATAAAAGGACCCCAATTTATTCTCAAGTCATGAATATTATTTTGCAAATTAATGCATACAGAGTTCTGGCTTACTAATAATCTACATTTGGTTAATCTGAATCAGTCCTGAGGGTCAGACAGTCCTGCAGTGGGGAAGAGAACAACTGGCAACTATGGTTATAAATCTTTAGACTTGGAACTCTGGTGCCCCCGCCCACTACAGCCAATGAAAAGGGCCTAATAATAACGAGCTTTCTCCCTTTCCTTTGAAAAATGTTTGTCCTTTCCTGGTGTCCTAGTGGTTAAGAAAAAAGAAAAAAAAGTGTTTAGCCTTAAAGTTTTAAGAAAATAAAAATATTTCATAAACCTCATTACCCAAAATGAACATTCTTAAAATATTGATGTATGATTTGTTTACGTATGTGAATGTATATATGTATATTTAGCAATTTGAGTCATATTACTACATTGCTTTTTTAAAATAGATCAGTAATTTCAACTCATTTCCTTCAATATGTTGAAGGAATGGCTACACTTAATGGCCATTGATATAATTCATTTAGTCTTACATACTTGGTTACCTTAAATTGTTTACAAACTCACAATTAAGAACAATTCTAAAGCCACCATCCTTTTTTTTGGTTGTTAGTTTTTTGTTTTTTGTTTTTTTTAGATCAGGCTAGAGTGCAGTGCCATAAACTCGGCTCACTGCAACCTCTGCCTAGTGGGTTCAAGTGATTCTCCTGCCTCCGCCTCCTGAGTATCTGGGATCACAGGCGTGGGCCGCCACGCCTGGCTGATTTTTGTATTTTTAGTAGAGATGGGATTTCACCATGTTGGCCAGGCTGGTCTCCAACTCTTGACCTCAAGTGATCTGCCTGCCTTGGCCTCCCAAAGTGCTAGGATTACAGGCATGAGCCACTGTGCCCAGCCCACCATTCTTATACATAACATTTTGTGAGCTGCAGCTGAGCATTTTGTTAAGATGAAGGCTTAGTAACTGAAGGGTCAATGAGTATAAATATTTTTCAAAGGCATCTACTACAGTGGCAAACTATCTTCAAGCAAAGTTGACCCGTATGCATCTACCTACGTGAAGCCTGTTCCTTGTACCCTCATCCATATTCCTGTATCCCAGCCTTGGCAACATGGTGACACCTCCTCTCTAGAAAAATGAAAACATTATCCAGATATGGTGGTGTGCACTCATCCCAGCTTCTTGGGAGACTGAGGCAGGAAGATTGCTTGAGCCTAGGAGGCTGAGGCTGCAGTGAGTTACGATGGTGCCACTGCACTCCAGCTTGAGTGACAGGCAAAGACCCTGTCTCAATAATAATGATAAAATACGGCTGGGTGAGGCCGCTAATGCCTGCAATCCCAGCACTTTGGGACACCAAGGTGGGCGGATCACCTGAGGTCAGGAGTTGGAGACCAGCCTGACCAATATGGTGAAACCTGTCTCTACTAAAAATACAAAAATTAGCCAGGTGTGGTGGCATGCACCTTAAGTCCCAGCTACTTGGGAGGCTGAGGCAGGAGAATTGCTTGAACCAGGGAGGTGGAGGTTACAGTGAGCTGAAATCATGCCACTGCACTCTAGCCTGGGTGACAGTGAGACTCCGTCTCAAAATAATAAAAATAAAATACTCCACTGAGAAACAGTCTTTGTCAACTTGAGATGAAAAATTGTATCTCATTCTTCGAATCTGCATTTCATTGATTACTGGTAAGGACAGATGCTTTCCTGCGTGTGTGTTAGCATTGTATTTTTTTTATGTTGTGAGTTTTCTTTCATGTCATGTCTTCTGATACGTCTATCATTTTCTGCTTTGAAAATGTGCTTTATAGATCGCGTCCTGCAAATACCCTCAGTTTGTAGCTTGGGGTTATATGGAAAGGGGAGTGTTTAACATAGTTTTTATTTCTTTTCTATTCCACTCAGTGGGGAGTTTTTTCTCTTTCTTACCTTCTTTTCTGAGTTTAACAAGGGGATGGAGAAAACATTTGTGAAGCTGTGCTGAAGTCATCTCAATATTCCTCCTCTATAACTTTAAGAAGGAATATATAACAATATTCCTTCTTAAAGAACTCAATGGTTTTTGAATTCTTATGCTTCTATTATTTGCTCATCATAACAATCAAGAAAGGCAGGTAAAGCAGATATGATCCTATTTCATAGATAGCAAAATAAAGACGGAGAAAAATGGCTTGCACTAGATAAGTCAGGGGTGGAGTTGGGACAAGGATGCCTGTCTTTTAACCTCCCCAGCCCCAAGGCTTTTTTTCCATGATAGTGTGGGGCAACAAACCAGGTCACCTGAATTTGTCTCAAACAAATGCAAAGAATGCAATACTGCTCAAGCTTCCCAGCTTTAACTACGTTGCAGACTTCCTCTGTCACCGACCTAGATATCTTATGAGTACCCTGTGCCCAAACTACCTCAGAAGTTAATTATTTTGTTAATTTTTCTTTGGTCAATGCAATGACTAAGTTCTGACTATTTCTTGAAGGATGGGAGACTTATAAAACTGGCATTTCCTGTCTCACAGAATGTCTATGCTCTTGTTTGTTAAACACTCAGCATTTGACAGATTGAGATTTCTATCGGTCCCAAGGAAATGGTGTTCACCAGAACAGGGAAGGAATTCACAGTCCTCTAAGTGGAAACACATGCCAGACTCTGGCTTGAGAGGCGGGGGCTGCCTGCAGGCTGACGGCAGCAGTGGAGCAGACACATTTACATGTCGCTCACTGGGTTTTCTCCCTAAAAGGAAATCACTGGAGAGGATCTCCTCTGTTTAGCCTCCGCAGGCCAAAAAAGAAAATGTGTGTGCTCTACAGTATCTGAGTTCTCTCTCTCGTGAGTCAAAGAACCCAGCCACCATTAGCTTTTTCTTTTTTTGAGACAGAGTCTCTCTCTGCCACCCAGGCTGGAGTGCAGTGGCATGATCTCGGCTCACTGCAACCTTCGCCTCCCAGGTTCAAGTGATTCTCCTGTCTCAGCCTCCCAAATATCTGGGATTACAAGTGCCTGCCACCATGCCCAGCTAAGTTTTGTATTTTTGGTAGGGACAGGGTTTCACCATCATGGCCAGCCTGGTCTTGAACACCTGACCTGAGGTGATCCACCTGCCTCGGCCTCCCAAAATCCTGGGATTACAGGCATGAGCCACCACGCCCGGCCCCACAATTAGCTTTCAATCACCATTTTCAGAAGGAGGTTAGTGGCATGCAGGGTGCCCGGCTGGGGTGGCTTCCTTAGCGTGACGTCTGTGCAGACGAGGCTCTGCATTGTGCTTCAGATACACTTACCATGTTTTGCCAGAAGAGAGGCCACCTCTGCCCTCTGCTGAGGATTCGAGTCCTTCTGCTCTTGGTGAGAACACCAGAGAGGACCACCGGAATGCCAGTTAAACAGCGGGTTTCAGTCCTCAATCTCTTAAACAGTTGGCACTGGCTTGTCTCACCAAGTTACCCTGTTTCTCTTCCCGAATTCTTCCCCTGCCTCCCCCCAGCATGTGCAGCTTGCTTAAATCAGCTTGAAAAGAGACAGCACGTGCCCTTTGTTTCTCCCCTTCCCCCCTGTTTCTCTTCCTTCCTGCTCCCTGCATAATCCGAATTCTCTGAAGGCAGGAGTCTGTCTTACTCATCTGGATGTTCACAGCGACTTGTACTGGTTTTTAACAATTACAGCATAACATATGAGCTCATTCACCTTCATTAGAACGCGACAGAAAAGGCTCTCTCCCACTCCATCTCGTCACCTCTCTTCAGAGGTTGCCACCACAACAAACTACGTATACATCATTCCAGACATTTTCAGAAGAGTTTTAGATGGCTTTGTTGTGTGCATTTGAAAAAAGCATCATCCTGTGTGAACTGTAGTGCAACTTACTTGATCCAACTGACGCAGCAAGATCTAATTTTTCCTTTTCGTTATGTATTAAGTACATACGTAATATGCAGTAGCTTAGCATTTAGATGACTTTACCACATTTTAATCAGTGCTTGACTGAGAGATGTTTGGGTTGTTTCTAGTTTTTGCTTTAACAATGTTACATAAGCATCTATGTTCCTTTAAGTGCTTCTCTAGCAAAAATGTCCAGAAGTGAACTGCTGGCTCACAGAGTATGTGGAGTTTTAATTTTGAGAGACAAAGTAACAGAATTCTTGATACCTAGCAGGGACACAGTACCTACTTATTTAAATAAGCTGAGGACTTGTTGGCAGGAGACATGATAACAAGGTACAGAAGAAACACTCAGGCCCGAGAGTCAGCAAATCTCATTCTAGACCTGTTGCTATTGCTATCAACTAACTTTTGACTATTAGACATTCTCTTCCCTTCTCTGAGCCTCAGTTTCCCCACCTGTACAGTGAGGTCTGGTCAAATGCTCTCCTTCTCAAGTTCCTGTCAGTGCTCACAGCCCATTCATTATATAAGGTTGGTACCTGAGGGGTCCCCAGCCGTTCAATCAGAGGGACCAGGTGAAGCGGGGCATACTTGGCTTCCAGACGTTTCATCCGGACCTCCAGACGCTCCCCTTCTGCAAAAGGAGACACAGAGCAGAAAATGAGATTCAGGGCACACAGGGCAGCTAGGGAAGGAAAAACTCTCAAAGGACTTGATGATGTATCTGCATTCCAAAAATGGGATGGAGTATGTGGAACTGCTCTCCTTGATTCTGGAAAGTGTGAATAATGTTTACTATAAGGAAAAATGTTCTATGATTTGTCCAACAATGGAATCGTCTGCCTTGTGAAGTGGTTCTATGATCTGTCCAACAATGGAATCATCTGCCTTCTAGAATATCTCTAGTATAATGCTGTCTAGACTTGGAACTTATAGACACTACTCTACTAGCAATATTCTAGAAGGAACAAGGAACAGGGCCTGGAGTGTCATTTCTATAATCTTGTAAGGAATCTGTTGAATAATTAGAATAAAGGACACAGAATCAGAGATAGTGGACCTCAGAGTCTGTGTCTGTCTGGTCAGTGGTGAGGTCTGAAGGTTCAATTCAGGTGGCTAGGTCAATCTTCCAATTTGTGATTCTGTGGCTATTCAGTGGGTGTCCAAAGGATTAACCTTCCTTCTTGCTTGCTGACTAGATCTGAGTTAACTAGGACTAGGAGGTGAGAACAAGGTTCAAATGCTGGCTGGTTATTCAGCTGCTGTAGTGGTTTCTTACCTTTGATGTAGACTCTAGGCAAGATGTTTTGGAAGGGTGCAGCATGGAGCAAGTCGCAGACCTCCTCTTGAGACTGCAGAGATGGGGGCAAAGAAAGAGAAAGGAATTTTCATTTTAAATCAGGAGGATGTTTCATTCCTAAAAACCTGAGCACTGGAGTTAGCTAGACCTGGGTTCAAATCCTGGCTCTTGTGTTGACTGTGACCTTGGGCGAGTTACTTAGCTCCTCTGAGTCTACTTATCTATCTGCAAAATGAGGACGAGAACAGTACCTATTTTAATGCATAACCTCGTGGCATGGTCACAGGTACATATTGGGAGCCCAGTACATTTTTACTATAATCTTATAAGGAATTTGTTGAATTCAGCTGGATTACACAGAATCAAACAGAAGATGGGCCTCAGAGTCTGTGTCTGTCTGGTTGGTTGTGAGGTCTGTAGGCTCACAGCAGGTGGCTAGGTCAGTCTTCCAGTCTACAAATCCAGGACAACTCTGTGTAAAGGCCTATGTCTGATTGGTTTTCTCCACATCAGACATCAGCTAGCAAGAAAAGAGGGAGGAGAAGCCAGGCCAGAAAGGTTTTGATGGTGACTTGTTATATGCGTAAAGATAAGCTTAAAAGCAAACATACAGTGGTTGGAGGGGCAGTTTGGTTAGGACAAGGGTCTCACAGGCTGCCTTGGGACAAGCTCGAAATCCCTGGATTTCAAAACAAAGGGAAGGGAAGGAGTCTGGAGAAGCCACCTTCTACTGGGGTTTGCTTTCTCTTCAACTGTGGGCATTTGGATTAGGTTAAGAGCCAGGCTCCATTTCAAACTCTGACACTTGGGGATTCTAAGTATCTGAGAAAATCAAGATTGCCGGAGTCCTTGGCTTCCTCCACCCCAGGCATGGATGGAACAGCGTCATCCCAGGACTCAAAGGCCAGCTGTTCAAGAGGGGAGCCCCAACTCCCTCTTAATTGCAGGTCAGTCCTTGAAACGAGGCTACCAGAAGAACACTCTGCAGTCCCTTCAGAGGAGCCTGTCTGAGTTGATTGTAATTCTGTATTTTTCCAGAGGGGAAACTTGCCCCCCATCATCCCCTCCTAGTTTTGAGATGGCGTCTCACTCTGTTGCCCAGACTGGAGTGCGGTAATGTGATCTTGGCTCACTGCAGCCTCCGACTCCGAGGTTCAAGCTATTACTCCTGCCTCAGCATCCCGAGTAGCTGGGATTACAGGTGCCTACCACCATGCCTGGCTAATTTTTGTATTTTTAGTAAAGACAGGGTTTCGCCATGTTGGCCAGGCTGGTCTCAAACTCCTGACCTCAGGTGATCTGACTGCCTTGGCCTCCAAATGTGCTGGGATTACAGGCGTGAGCCACTGTGCCCAGCCTTTTCCTCCTGTCTTAAGTAAGCTGTTTGTTTGACTCCTTTCTAGTAAATCCCACAACCTGGTCTTCATGGCTATGTCTAAGCTTAGATCCTTTGATTCATTACATAACCTGAAAACTTGGCTTATTGATCATTCAAGCTAGTCTTTCATATTCATGTAGTGAATTACACTGGATGATTTTTTTTTTTTTTTTTTTTTTTTGAGTCAGAGTCTTGCTCTGTCACCAGGTGCCAGGCTGGAGTGCAGTAGTGGGATCTCGGCTTACTACAAACTCTGCCTCCCGGGTTCAAGCAATTCTCCTGCCTCAGCCTCCCAAGTAGCTGGGATTACAGGTGCACACCACCACACCCTGCTAATTTTTGTATTTTTAGTAGAGACAGGGTTTCATCATGTTGGCCAGGATGGTCTTGATCTCTTGACCTCATGATCCGCCTGCCTTGGCCTCTCAAGTGCTGGGATTACAGGCATGAACCACCCCACCCAGCCTGCATTGGATGATTTTTGAATGATAAATCAGCCTTGTATTCCTGAAATAAACCCACTTCATTACATTATCCTTTTGATCAGGCGTCCCCAAACTATGGCCCGCGGGCCGCATGCGGCCCCCTGAGGCCATTTATCCGGCGGGGGTGGGGGGGGGCCCACTGCACTTCAGGAAGGGGCACCTCTTTCATTGGTGGTCAGTGACAGGAGCACAGTATGTGGCAGCCCTCCAATGGTCTGAGGGACAGTAAACTGGCCCCCTGTGTAAAAAGTTTGGGGACACCTGCTTTTGCTGTATTGCTTGATGCTATTTGCTAACATTTTGTTTAGGATTTTTACTCTGTATTCATGAGGGATACTGATTTGTTATCTTATTTTCAAATGCCTGAGGTTTTGGTATTAGGGTAATGTTGACCTCAAATGATGGGAGAGTTCCCTTTGTTTGTATGTTTTGGGGGCAAAACCACCTTTCCAAAATGAGGAAATCATGACACTGAAAGAAATCAGACCTAACCAACCTCATTTTGCTTCTAACTTTTAAGCTGTCCTTGTTCATTTCTGGGCACAGGCCGAACTTTGGGAAGAAATTCAGTTCATGGTTTGTCTCTGAAACAAAATTGGTAATAGTCCTTTCCTGAAAAGACCCCCTTTTTTTTGCCTGAGGTCTGCCTTTGCAGGACTAACAAATCAGCTACAACATTAGAAATTACAGTTTAGGGGTCATGCAGCCTCTGGCTCCAAGAGTATGAACCTCCCCAGATTGCTCCCGGGGATAACATTACTACTGTAAAACCTAAGAACAGTGTTTGAGTGGTTTTGCAGACCCTGCTCTCCAGTGGATGAGCTGACACCGTCCAGGCCAGTAATCTGGCTCTACCAGTTCTGCCATCTCACCCAGGACCACAAAACAGCAAGAAAAACTCACTTCGACCCTCTATGATTCCATCTCCAACCTGATCAGTCAAGACTCCCTACTTCCCAAGCTCCTACCTGCCAAATTATCTTTAAAAACTCTGATCCTCAAGGGAATGCTCCAGGAGACTGAGTTGAGTAATAATGAAACTCTGATCTCCTGCACAGCTGGCTTTGCATGCATTACCCTTTGTCCACTGCAACTCCCCTGTCTTGATAAATCAGCTCTGTCTGGGCTGTGGGCAAGGTGAACCTGCTGGGCATTTACAGAGATCACGTAGAATTGGTACTATTTCTTCCTTAAATGTTTGATGGAATTCACAAGTGAAACGATCTGCATCTGGTTTTGGTTTTTTGTTTTTGTTTTTGTTTTGAGACAGGGTCTGGCTCTCTCACCCAGGCTGGAATGCAGTAGTGCAATCATGGCTCACTGGCCTTGACCTTCTGGGCTCAGGTGATCCTCCCATCTCAGCCTCCTGAGTAGCTGAAAGTACAGGTACATGCCACCACACCTAGCTAATTTTGTTTGTTCGTTTGTTTGTAGAGACAGGATTGGGAGTTTTTTTTGTTGGAAGCTTTTTTTTTTTTTTTTTTTTTGTAAGCAGGAATTATATTTCTTTAATAGATACAGGACTATTCAGCTTATCAATTTTTCTTAAGTGAGTTTTGGGGATTTGTGTCTCAAGGAATTGGCTTCTTTAATTTACGGGTATATGTTTGTCTTTAGAACATTTTTATTGTCCTTTTAATTTCTGTGGGTTCTGTAGTAATGTCCCTCTTGCATTCCCGGTCATTTGGTCTTCTGTTTTATTCTTGGTCAGTCTGGCTAGAGGTTTTGTTTTTTTTTCTCCCCCAGAAACGAGCTTTTAGTTTCAATGTTACTGGTTTCTTTCTTTCTTTCTTTCTTTTTTAATCTTTTCTGTTCTGTTCTTTTCCTTTCTTTTATCTCATTCTGTTGTCCAGGCTGGAGTGCAGTGGCATGAATGTGACTCACTGTAATCTCAACCTCCCTGGACTCAGTTGATCCTTCTACCTCAATCTCCCAAGTGGCTGGGACTATCGGTGCACACCATCACACCCAGCTGAGTTTTGGATCTTTTGTAGAGATGGGGTCTCACTATGTTGCCCAGGCTGGTCTTGGACTCGCGGGCTCAAGCCATCTGCCTCCCTTTGCCTCTCAAGTGCTAGGATTACAGGCACGAGCCACTGCACCTCAATGCTACTGGTTTCTGTTCTTTACTAATTCATTTCTTTTATTCTGCTTGCATTAGGTTTAATTTGCTCTTACTTGTTCATTTTTAAAATAATTGAAATAAAGATTTTTACAATAGAGACGGGGGATCTCACTGTGTTGCCTAGACTGGTTTCAAACTCCTGGGCTCAAGCAGTCCTCTTGCCTTGACCTCCCAAAGTGCTGGGATTATAGGCACATGCCACTGCACCTGGCCATGGCTCTAGTTTCTTAAAGTGGAGACCTAGATTACTGATTTGACACCTTTATTCTTTTCTAATAGAACATTCAGGCTATTCTTCCATCACTCCAGTAATCAAGAATTCAGTTCTTCTGGAGGTAGCCCAATCTACTTTTGAAAACTCGAATGGTTGGAAAGTTTGGTTTGGTGTTGAGCTGAGGCTGCTTCCAGTAGTTTTCACTCTAGATCCTTGTTCTGTTCTTCACAGTATCACTGAATGTATTTTTCGAGCTAGTGTCTTTAGCTCTTTTATCTTTATTCTTCCCCTAAGGGCCAAGCACGGTAAGAGTTTTCTACATCTCTCTCCATTTCCTAGTCTTTACTTCCTTTCTCAGCAAACAGAAGTATCATGCCTAGTCATATGCCATGGCAATGTCTCTAGCAAAGATGACCAAGGACTTCTTTGTCACCAAGTTCAGTGCAACCCTTTCAGCCTTCAACTTCTATGGTGTCTCTAAAGGATTAGGCACTGTCCTTCTCAGCTCCTATGACAAGGTGTTTCTTCGTTTCCACCATTTTGGTTTCTCCTTTTTAGCATCTTTGCAGATTTTATCTCTGATCATTCCTTAAATGTTGAGGGTTTTTTTCTTATTCTATTGTCATGGTTTATCTCATCGACTCCCATGTTTTGAAACACCACCCACTGTCCACTATTAATCACATGTGTGTTTTCATCCAGACTTTTCTGCAAAGCTCCGGACCTGGATATCCAACTCCTTGCTGGATGTTCCCACTTGAATATTCCACAGCTCACTGTTTCCAAAGCTGACCACCTTCTCCCCTTATCACCTGGGGGTCCTTGTTCACAGAATGACACAATCAGCTCC